TCTCCGAGACATCTCTAGTCCGTGTTGATAATGGGGGAAATGTACCCCAAAATAGTCCTTCATTAGCCAGCAGCAGTCCCCTGTCGACTCATGTGACATTCCTCCAGGGTTACATAGAACCAGGGTGTGGGCTCCAAGCCATCTCCGAGACATCTCTAGTCCGTGTTGATAATGGGGGAAATGTACCCCAAAATAGTCCTTCATTAGCCAGCAGCAGTCCCCTGTCGACTCATGTGACATTCCTCCAGGGTTACATAGAACCAGGGTGTGGGCTCCAAGCCATCTCCGAGACATCTCTAGTCCGTGTTGATAATGGGGGAAATGTACCCCAAAATAGTCCTTCATTAGCCAGCAGCAGTCCCCTGTCGACTCATGTGACATTCCTCCAGGGTTACATAGAACCAGGGTGTGGGCTCCGAGCCATCTCTGAGACATCTCTAGTCCGTGTTGATAATGGGGGAAATGTACCCCAAAATAGTCCTTCATTAGCCAGCAGCAGTCCCCTGTCGACTCATGTGACATTCCTCCAGGGTTACATAGAACCAGGGTGTGGGCTCCGAGCCATCTCCGAGACATCTCTAGTCCGTGTTGATAATGGGGGAAATGTACCCCAAAATAGTCCTTCATTAGCCAGCAGCAGTCCCCTGTCGACTCATGTGACATTCCTCCAGGGTTACATAGAACCAGGGTGTGGGCTCCAAGCCATCTCCGAGACATCTCTAGTCCGTGTTGATAATGGGGGAAATGTACCCCAAAATAGTCCTTCATTAGCCAGCAGCAGTCCCCTGTCGACTCATGTGACATTCCTCCAGGGTTACATAGAACCAGGGTGTGGGCTCCGAGCCATCTCCGAGACATCTCTAGTCCGTGTTGATAATGGGGGAAATCTACCTCAAAATAGTGCATCATGACTCAGCAATCATCACACTCAACTTTGGTGAGAACCGGGCAAAGGGGTCAAAATCCGTCAATGTGGGGGGTGAAACGGCTGTACGCGAGCCCTGGGGGGGCACCCGGGACCGGGCAGTGCCCCCGGCAGAAGGAACCGGGTCAAACGGGCCAAAACAGGAAAAAAAATAAAAATAAAAAGAACCAGGCAAAAGGGGGGAAAATGGGAAAAAAGTGTCCGAAAATAGTGCCTCATGACCCCGCAGGAGTCCCCCGCGGACTCCCCTGACATTCCTCCATGGTCGAAATCATCCAACTCAACTTTGGTGAGAACCGGGAAAAGGGGTCAAAATGCAAAAATTGTACCCCAAAATAGTGCCTCATGACCCCGCAGGAGTCCCCCGCGGACTCCCCTGACATTCCTCCATGGTCGAAATCATCCAACTCAACTTTGGTGATAACCGGGCAAAGGGGTCAAAATGTAAAAATTATACCCCAAAATAGTGCCTCAAAATTGGGTAGAGTCACCTGCAAAGTGCCCTCGCATTCCTCCATGGCTCAAAATGTCGAACTTAAACTATTTGGAGAACCAGAGAAATGTAAAAAATACGCCCCAAAATAGTGCCTCAAAATCGGGTAGAGTCACCTGCAAAGTGCCCTCGCATTCCTCCATGGCTCAAAATGTCGAACTTAAACTATTTGGAGAACCAGAGAAATGTAAAAAATACGCCCCAAAATAGTGTCTCATAATCGGGTAGAGTCACCTGCAAAGTGCCCTCGCATTCCTCCATGTCAAACTTTAAGTATTGAGAGAACCAGGCTGGGGGGTCCTTGCGCCACAAAATTAGGCCCACTCAAAGTGCTTGGTGAGCGGATACATTCTTCCATGATTTGCAACAGCCGTTTTTTTTCTGAGTGCACCCAAAAACTGGGTTTCCGAATTCGTGCAGACGGTAGTTTGAAAAGTATGGATGAATCTTTTTGACAGAGAAGTGGAAATGAAGCCCAGGGACTTTTTCCCCTTCTCCGTTGTACCAACCATCGGAGAAGGGGAAAAATCGGCCCGAAGCGCCAATAGTCTGGCCCCTTCTCCCGTTGGCACTCTGTCATTTTTTTGACAATTTTTCAAAACTTCATTTTTGATTATTTTAAGTTATAATTAAGCGTTTTCTTCACTTTCTTTTGCTTTCCACGGGTGGGGGCGCCTGGCAGGCCGCCTATGAGCACCCAAATTCGGCCTGGATCATCCAGGATTTGTGGGCTAAGCTCCATAAACTGACTAAATCACCCAGAGAGGTCACCTTTCTAGCCCAAATATATATAATACAAATACATTTAAATAGTAAAAGGTGCACTTGTGCTCTGCATTACCCGGAATTTTATTTTCATAGCCCCATGATAGTGATTAAAAATCATTTTCATGGGAAAAAGTGTTAAAACGCCTGATTAAATTATATGCAGGACCCCAGTGAGCTCCAGACTATGTGCATTGTGTTGGGGAACCATATAAATGATAGAATAAATGCATTTAAATGCAAAAATAATGATTTTAAATCATTTTAGGGGGACAATTGTGGAGAGGAGCCTGAAAATGACTGCAGCAGGCCGCCTATGAGCACCCAAATTCGGCCTTCTTGACGCACCACCACCCCTTCTGTGGAGGGTATTCTCGTGCCCCTGGTGACTCTACAAGGGGGGTGGTTTTTATGGTGCTTCGATGTCCGCCCATCAGCATCCATATTCGGCCTTCTTCACGGCATCACCCCCCCTTCTGTGGAGGGTATTCTCGTGCCCCTGGTGACTCTACAAGGGGGGTGGTTTTTATGGTGATTCGATGTCCGCCTATGAGCACCCAAATTCGGCCTGGATCATCCAGGATTTGTGGGCTAAGCTCCATAAACTGACTAAATCACCCAGAGAGGTCACCTTTCTAGCCCGCTCACAGAGCCCCCAAGGACGGACTATAGACCTCCAGCAGCAGTCCCCAACAGTGGGACTTCCATAACCTTGCACTCACTTCACTTGTCTCACACACACCCAGGGGGGTGAAAGAGGACACATTGGAGCACACATTGACCCAGCAGTAAGTGCTTGAAACGTGGCTAAAGGTGTGTCAAACAGTGGGGTAACATGTTTCAAATGACAGCACACTGCTGCTTGTTGGCAGGCTGACTCAGTTCACTTGTCTCACACACACCCAGGGGGGGAAAGATAACACTTGTACCCAGGAATAAGTGTTTGAAAGGTGGGGAAAAGTTGTTTGAAATAGTATAATATCTCCAGGGCGCATAACTGCACTTTACAAGCCAGAAATAATGTTTAAATGGTCTGGGAAAGTATTTTTAAATGTCTGGAAGAGAGTTTTAGACAGTCATTTTGCACGAAATCATTTAACATAGACGCTCTCCTGAAAATGCACAGAATATGTGCTTTTTCAGGAGACTGTCAATGTTAAATGATATCTCGCAAAATGACTGACTAAAACTCCGGAATAAGTGTTTGAAAGGCGGGGAAAAGTTGTTTAAAATAGGCTGATACCTCCAGGACGCATAACATGGGTAAAAAGTGTGTTAAAAGGTCGGGGAACATGTTTCAAATGACAGCACACTGCTGCTTGTTGGCAGGCTGACTCACTTCACTTGTCTCACACACACCCAGGGGGGTGAAAGAGCACACAATGACCCAGGAAAGAGTCTTCAAAACACAGGTAAAAGTGTGTTAAACAGTGGGGTAACATGTTTGAAATGACAGCACACTGCTGCTTGTTGGCAGGCTGACTCACTTCACTTGTCTCACACACACCCAGGGGGGTGAAAGAGCACACAATGACCCAGGAAAGAGTCTTCAAAACACAGGTAAAAGTGTGTTAAACAGTGGGGTAACATGTTTGAAATGACAGCACACTGCTGCTTGTTGGCAGGCTGACTCACTTCACTTGTCTCACACACACCCAGGGGGGAGAAAGAGGGCACATTTGAGCACACATTGACCCAGGAAAGAGTCTTCAAAACACAGGTAAAAGTGTGTTAAACAGTGGGGTAACATGTTTCAAATGACAGCACACTGCTGCTTGTTGGCAGGCTGACTCACTTCACTTGTCTCACACACACCCAGGGGGGAGAAAGAGGGCACATTTGAGCACACATTGACCCAGGAAAGAGTCTTCAAAACACAGGTAAAAGTGTGTTAAACAGTCGAGTAACATGTTTCAAATGACAGCACACTGCTGCTTGTTGGCAGGCTGACTCACTTCACTTGTCTCACACACACCCAGGGGGGTGAAAGAGCACACAATGACCCAGGAAAGAGTCTTCAAAACACAGGTAAAAGTGTGTTAAACAGTGGGGTAACATGTTTGAAATGACAGCACACTGCTGCTTGTTGGCAGGCTGACTCACTTCACTTGTCTCACACACACCCAGGGGGAAGAAATATAACACTTGTACCCAGGAATAAGTGTTTGAAAGGAGGGGAAAAGTTGTTTGAAATAGTATAATATCTCCAGGGCGCATAACTGCACTTTACAAGCCAGGGAAGGGGCCAGAATCCTGGGTATACATTTTGTAAATAGTGCAATACCTCCAAGGCGCATAACTGCACTTTACAAGCCAGGGAAGAGGCCTGAATCCTGGGGTAAACATTGTTTAATTGTTTAAGTGTTTTTAAATGTATGGAACAGTGTTTTGTCTCTTTCAAAACTCTCCCGTCATTGGCCGGATACATGGGGACGATTTTATATTCACTATGACCGTTACTATTCCAGTGAGACGAAGTACGTCCGGTGACGGGAGTGATCCCATGTTAATTTTGTCCAAAAACCAGAGCATTCCCTTATCCAAGGGTAGTTTTCACTATAAGTAAAAAATAATTTTTGGACGGACACTATAATTTACAGTTTTTTACTATGTAAAATCTGAATTTTCTTTCAAATAAAAAACATCTATATTGTTCTGACTTTTCTACATCCAACTCACAGGTTTATCATTACTTGTTATTATTATTATTAATTTACCCCTTTTAGAAGGGAAGATGGTCATTTGTTCTGGGAATGTCATTTTCGAGCCTGAGACCTGAAAAACAGGCTCAGGGCTTAACAGGTTAAACACCTGAGCTTGCACTATTTTTATTTTTATTGTTGTTTTTTATATGTATTTCTTATGTCTTGTTAATTGCACTGTTAAGGAACCTGCGATCAATTTGTTTTATACATTACATAATTACACCATAGTTTCTAAATGTCATGACAATAAACCTTTGAATCTTGAAAAATAGTTATTAAACAGACTCTGGAACATTGTATTGAGAACAAGTGATGCAGCGCCCTCTGCTGGCCGGGAGAAGCAATCAAATAAAAATGGTCCATAATCTTTGCAATAATCTGCAGAGTTTAAGCATTGCATCTCTAACACAATAGAATAACATTATTCACACAAAACAGTATAACTATTTTAACCATCCATATCTGATAAAAACACCATAAACATTTTAAAGAAAGAAATATTTGCATTAATTTAGCAAGCTCCATAGAAATTAAGTCAAATTAAAAGTACATCGATTTTAAAATAATCCACATTATGAGTTAACTTTTGTGTTTTATTGTTTGTATCGAGTTTGTGAAACGATTCTGGAATTACTGTTTTTTATCGTTTTTTTATTTTTATTTTTTTGTTTGGAATTTGTTTTTATTCACAAGTAATTCATATTTGTTTCAAAGAGTTTCCAGTAACTTTCTTAGTATGACTGCTTTGTTTAAACAGACAGAGCCTTCTTCTGGCAGATCCATTGTTGTGTTGCATTACATCTCCTTGATGACCATGTGTCTTTTTTCTTGAACAACACTGCACAGTGACCGTCAACAGGATCAGGAGGATCTATCCAGGAGCTGAGGAGAGAACATGATGTTTAGATAAAGGCTGATTTTATTATTCAAAGTGTTTAGTAATGGGTCTCTTACCTATCAGTCAGATTACTTCCATCCACCCACTCCCATTTCTTATTTACAACTCTCAGACCAATCCAGAATCCATTAGATCCAAAGCTTTCTTTCTTGATTGCTTCCTGGAAAACAGAGAGAGAGTTGTCAGATATTTAAACATTAAACTGTAATAAACACATAATGACCTAAAGACCCAAAGTGTGTTCAAACCTACACAAAACACAATTACTTTCTTAATTGCGTCATATTAAGGGGTTTACCTTTTCCTTAAAATCATGTGCAACAGCCAAATATGAATTCTTTCCACTGCAGTTTTCTCTAGCTTCTTCCCAGGTTTTCCATCCACGAGAACGAGGGTTTTGATACGCATAGCAGCTGGGCTCAGTGTGTAACCAGCCTTTCTGACAAGCTTGACAGTTGGTCTCTGAAACAACAGAGTCCAAACAATAATCCACATCACTGCATTGTGATATTAATGTTATTATTATTATTATTATTGTACCTTATTAATGGGTTCAGAACTTACTGCCAGGTTGTCTGCAGTAGGAATTGATGCTCCACTGAGCTCGACTGACGTTGAGCTCATTCCAGTTTGTTGTCAGGTTTTGTATTTGCTGTGTCAAGTTGTTATTCTTGGTCTCCAGCTCCTGGTTTCGTTTGTTCAGCTCCTCGACTCCTGCAGACAGGTTTTTGTTGTTGCTCTCTGAGACATTATAGGCTTGTGTCAGGTTGCCCAACTGGTCCGCCAGATTCTGGATGTCGAAGCTGAGTTTTGTGTTGTTTGCCCGTAAAGTTGAGTTTTCTTTAAACCGGTTTGGATCACTCTCATGAATTAATGTAACTGCCAAATGAGAAATTAGCTTCTTTTATAATCAAGGTTATATTGGAATTTAGTTTTTTGTCAATTTGCCTCTTTCGGAAGCTTTTTCCTGTCAGTCTCACGTTAAGTTTTCCGGTCTTTAGACTCAAACTAAAAATGTCTCAGTTTGTCTCATAGTGTTCCGACTTCTCCAATTCTCATTTATATTTCACATTGCCTGAAACTGCTTGTCACTGTGGTTTGAGGTCAACATTACTAAGAAAGGAATGAAATGGGGAAGTCTTCAAGCCGAACATTTTGTGATATAGCAAGCGCTGGTGGGTAGAGAGTGTGGGATAAACTCAGAACTTCACAGAGGCTCAGTAACATGAAAGACACATGACATTTGTTAATAGATTGACATTAGATAGACATTCATTGACGTTTGGGTCTGATCATGTGATTTGTTAAGAATAAGAGAAATATAGAATATGACTTGACTTGTCTTTTCATTATTTGTATGCATGCTTGTCTGTATTTCCCACTAATGGTGGCTGCAGGTATGTACAGTATATGAAAGTCTCAAACGAATTAATGTATTCATCACCACGAACGGCTTCTCGATTGATAAGAACAACCCAGAACAAGATCTGATTGGTTGCTTTCTTTTCTAACACAAAACCACTGAAATGCGTAGTGCATGGTCCGAGAAGGACAAACAAATCAACGTAACACTGTAATATTACAGATCAACAACACAGATACCATTCTCATTTATTCATTTTATATACATTTTATTACATTTTATTTATATAATTTTATCTGAGTGTTCCAGGGTATTCTCTGAATACCTTGAAGGCCCTGACGGTTCGCCACTGTGTTCAGCAGCATATTACGACCCAGAGTCACGTTTTAAAGTGTAGCACCTCTAGTGGTCGTGTAAGAAACAACATGCTCCCGTTGATTGCAAACGCTCCGGGGATTGTTTTATTCACAAATAACCCTCTCTGGAAAATCCTAAATTGCGGAATAGTTTGGCCATTAAAATGCTTTTTTATTAGATTTCTAGCGAGAAGTTTATATTGTACTTTTAAAATCTACTTCCAGGCGATGTGTAGGATCTATAGTTTAATAGATATTACTAAGATGATTTGAGGTCTAGCCAGGATAAGGTGTATACTGTATGTGGCAGCTTCCATGTAAAGTTAGCGTCAACCCTCACAGGGTGAAAACAGTATTTCCGGTCTCAAAGTTTTCATAATAAAACCGGAAGTATTTCCCTCACTGTCAAATGATTACACAGTGATATCTGCATTACTCATCCACTAAAAAAACATCAGTTTATCCTTGTTAATTACACAATATTGATTGGTTTAAATTGTGTACAATGCTTTTGTGTTTTTAACCTTCGATTCGGAGAAACAAATAGTTTTTTCGGAGTTTAGACACTACAGAGTTTCCGAAGACACTACACTACCCAGAATCCCCAGCTATCGTTTGGGACTACAACATCTGCCTTGCTTTACAAACCCCGTGATTAGTCCTCAAGCTCTGTGATTGGATGTTGGAGTGGCAGTGCGACAAGGTTACGCCGAGCGTCAAACAGCTCTTTGAAATGGAATGGAACCACGGCAGACTGTCCAAAAGTCTCCCCCCCCCCCCAGAACTACACATGCTGGCTATTGTGTGTTCTATGGCACGTCTCTACTGGGAATTGTAGTTTTAAAAGACGTTTTCGTATTTCCCACAATTAGAAGTTAATAATAATAATAATAAATTCAATTTATAAAGCACCTTTCATTGCTCACAGCAATCCCAAGGTGCTACAGGAGGCATAATAAAAACAAACAAAATAAACAAAAGTTTAATCAAAAGCTTTTTTTTAAATAAAGGTTTTTAAGCCTTTCTTGAAGGCATCAGTGGTCTGTGGAGTCCTCAGGTGGTCTGGGAGGGAATTCCACAGGCGAGGAGCAGCTGCACAGAAAGCCCGATCCCCCATTGTGCGTAGTTTGGTCCTGGGGGGGCGAAGCAGATGGTTGGTTGTGGAGCGGAGGTTGCGTGTGGAGGTTTGTGATGTGAGAAGTTCCTTCAGGTATGGAGGAGCGTTCCCGTGGATGCACTGATGGGTCAGTAGTGCGATCTTGTAGTCGATCCTGAATGAGACAGGAAGCCAGTGGAGGGAATGAAGAACGGGTGTGATGTGGTTGTACTTTCTCACCCTCATCTGGATCCTAGCGGCACTGTTCTGTACATATTGGAGCTTCTGAAGGCTCCCGCTAGGAGTCCCGATGAGGAGAGCGTTGCAGTAATCGAGCCTTGAGGAGACGAAGGCATGGACCAGTTGTTCTGCATCTGACAGGGAGAGTGTGGAACGGAGTTTAGCAATGTTCCTGAGGTGGTAGAAGGAGGTTTTGCACAGGTGTTTGATGTGGGTGTCAAAAGTCAGATGTCTGTCAAATCTTACACCCAGGTTGGTAACTGCTGTGGAGAGGGGTATGTTTTGGCCAGAAAAGGTAATGTGGGTTATGGGGGATGACTGGACCTGGTTTGGTGTGCCAACTAAAATAGCTTCTGTTTTGGAGCTATTAAGTTGCAGGAAGTTTTCTCGCATCCAAGCCTTTATCTCCTCAATGCAGGTGTTAAGGGATGTTGATGGGAACGGTGACGATGATGGTGACAGTGGCGATGCATGCGGGATAGGGTCTGTCTTTATATATAGCTGCGTGTCATCAGCGTAGCAATGGAATGATATTCCATGCTTGCTGATGACACGGCCAAGGGGCAGAGTGTACAGGGTGAACAGAGTGGGCCCAAGGACCGACCCTTGAGGGACACCACAGGTGACAGGGTGTGTCTGGGACCTCGCACCTCCCAAGGAGACGTACTCTGTTCTTCCAGACAGGTAGGACTGGAATCAGCTCAGGGCGGAGTCAGAGAGTCCGATGGTGTGTTTGAGGCGCAGAAGGAGGATGTTATGGTCGACAGTGTCGAATGCTGCAGTCAGATCCAGGAGGATGAGGAGAGATGGGGATCGAGTATCAGCCGCCATCAACAGGTCGTTTGTGACCCTGACCAGAGCTGTTTCAGTGCTGTGGGCGGAACGGAAACCGGACTAGAATTTTTCAAAGAGGCCGTTTAGTTGTAGATGGTCCTGAAGCTGGGCGGCAACTACTTTTTCCAGCACCTTGGCTTGAAATGGGAGGTTGGAGATGGGCCTGTAGTTGGCGAGGATGTCTGGGTCTAGGGTGGGTTTTTTGAGAAGGGGTCTGATGACGGCAGTTTTAAGAGCCAATGGAACATAACCAGCCTTGAGGGAGCTGTTGATGGCGTAGGTGATCATGGGACTTATAGCCGAGATGTTCGATTTGACAAGGGCTGTGGGTAGAGGGTCTAGTGTGCAGGTGGAGGGTTTCATCTCGCAGGTGATGTCCTCAACCTCTTGCTGAGAGATCTCCGTGAAGCAACAGAGCGGTTGGAAAATCCCATGCTGTGTGTTAACAGTAGGGACAGACACAGCGCAAGGGGTGGAGAGAAGAGAGCGAATAGTGGCAACTTTTGTCCTGAAGAAAGTAACAAAGTTATTGCACTGCTCTTCTGTAGTGTCGATGTGTGAGGGAGTTTGTGGCCTGAGGAGATGATCAACAGTAGAGAAAAGCTGCTTGGAGTTTCCAGGATTTTTACTGATGATGTCGGAGTAGAATTGTGACCGTGCTTTTTTGAGTGACTTTGAGTAGGTTTTTTGATGTTCCTGATAGGCTAATCTGTGAACAAGTTGCCAGTATTAAACTGTGTACACTCCTGGAGGTTTAGGGGATATGAAACACAGTGGTGTTATCACATTTAAAACATATAATTAATAAATGGGTGAAAATTGCTTGTGTCCATAATGGGCAAAATTAATATACCCACATGACAGCTAAGGTCAGAAGAGCTTTATTTAACAGCTGGTCTTATGTCTGTGACCCCTCCTGTTGTTAATTGATAAGCCTGAAACATGCACTTGTCAAGGTTCAGAGGCAAACTTTGCAAATATGGCAGTAGCCATCGATCATCTTAAGATAAGATAAGGTAAGATAAGATAAAATATACTTTATTGATCCCAAGTTGGGAAATGTTGTTCTACTCCACTACAATTCAGAGGTTAAACTGGTATTTTTAATCCACTACATTTATGTTTGTTACTTTGCAGATTCTGATTAATGATGTGAAATATATACAACCCTTAAATCAGACTTTAGTTACACCTGAGTCAAATTCAGGGAAGGTGATTGTCAAGTGCCAAAATAAACTATGCAATATATTAGACGTTAAAGGTATGGTAGGTAAGTTTGAGAAACCGGCTCGAGTGTGCTAGAATTTGAAAATACACAACCGGAGAAAATCTGCCACTTCCTTATAGAGCCCCTCCTCCAACACACATGAACACGCACATGACCAATGAGGGCACGAGATAAGTTTGTGCACAGATGGAAGGCTGACAGGCAGGTAGGCCATCCAGTTATTTTAGCCGGGCCGGCTAAAATGATTGGTCGTACTTTTTACAGTACTACGGCTTCCACAGATGACATTTTTTTATGGATTTTTTGTCAAAGCACTTAAGATATTCATTGCTATCGGGATGTTAAGAGCATTCCATGGAATATAACAAGTGTATCTCGAGCCGGTTTCTCAAACTTACCTACCCTACCTTTAAGTACTTTGTCAGACTTAATATTTATCTGTTGATACCCACAACGTTTTTTTCTTACTCAAAAGAAGACCTTAACTTAAAGTATTCTTTAATGGTTAAATAAAGCCTTATCAGTTTGTCTGTTTTGCACATCCTCCTATTAATATCTTTGGACGTCCTCCACTAGCTGTTTTATTGTAGAGATCACTACAGTATCTTCTTGATATTTTATATTCTATATTTCTATCATTGACCATATACTTTCCCCCTAGTAGTATGTAGGCTACTCTTAATATTTAAATGTTTTCATCAAATATAACATTCAACAACAACATTCAATAACGCGCTTTAACCACTAGGCGGTGCGGGTTAAAAAACCAGTGGTCTAGTTCAGGGGTTCCCAACCCCCGGGTACCGGTCCGCGGAGGTGTTACTGCCGGGCCGCGAAATAGCTGTGAGTTTATCGTTTATTTATATTTGCAGAATTATAAATATATAAAAATATTTTATCATAATGTTTTTATTTAACCTGTTTTTCAGGTCTCAGGCTCGAAAATGACATTTCCAGAACAAATTACCATATCTTCCCTTCTAAAAGGGGAAAATTAATAATCTTGTTTCTCAAAGTAATGATAAACCTGTGAGTTGGATGTAGAAAAGTCAGAATCAATATAGATGTTTTTTATTTTAAAGAAAATTCAGATTGAACATAGTAAAAAACTGTAAATTATAGTGTTCGTCCAAAAATTATTTTTTACTTATAGTGAAAACTACCCTTGGATGATGGTAAGGTAAACTAAAAGCTTTAGGAATCCAAAGTACAACATATAATAAGTACCCTGTATCAAGATTGATGCAAAACAAGTGACATATGACCTTTTTAGAGAGATTTAGCAAAAAAAAAACACTTCTGGGGTCATTTGGGTGGAAATGGGCGTTTTTGCCGTTTCTCTGGAACCCATTGGTCGATTTTGGTGATTGACATCTCTTTTTAACCGTTAGAGCCAATAGAATCGAAGGGGAATTTTCACATACACACACACGTTACCATTGAGAAATGAGAGCTATGCGCACGCAGTTTTGCATGAGAGCGAACCTATCTCTCGCTCTGACATCTGGAAACGGAAAAGCAGGTTTATTGCTTATGGATTATCAGAAATCATTTCAAAGGGACACAGACACATTGGATTAACCTATGGATTAACTTCAGCAGCGTTTTTATTTTATTTATTATCGTTTTAATGCCATTGAAGACCACTTTTGACCAGACAACGACAAAGGTAAGCCATTTTGCCGTATTAGCTACCTAGCGCCACATGTTTTGATGTCTGTTTTTGTTTATAAAGTCGCGAGTTCTTATCATGGAGTGATAATGTAGGTACCGATCGATTCTGTGTCTTCTCACGATGCTAATCGATGGGTTGGACGTACAGCTACGATAAGTAATAAGGGTGTTATGAGTGAGTTTCTGTGTAGCATTTTTTCGCTTTTGGCTAATTTAGAGGCTCAGCGCTAGCTTTGTGTTGTTTTTTTCAAAAAGAAAAAAAAATTATCAATTCGCTGAGTTTCTTCCCGTTACATGGATATAAAACATTCATAGTTTATTACATCTTAAGAAGCCCTCAGACACTTTTGCTTGCAGATTTTGTGGTTTCGGCCCCTTCGTGGGGCTTAAGATTAACAGACTCTGGAACATTGTATTGAGAACAAGTGATGCAGCGCCCTCTGCTGGCCGGTAGAAGCAATACAATAAAATGGTCCATAATCTTTGCAATAATCTGCAGAGTTTAAGCATTGCATCTCTAACACAATAGAATAACATTATACACACAAAACAGAATAACTATTTTAACCTTCCATATCTGATAAAAACCCCATAAACATTTTAAAGAAATACATATTTGCATTAATTGAGCAAGCTCCATAGAAATTAAGTCAAATTAAAAGTACATCCATTTTAAAATAATCCACATTATGAGTTAACTTTTGTGTTTTATTGTTTGTATCGAGTTTGTGAAACGTTTCTGGAATTACTATTTTTATCCTTTTTTTGTTTTATTTTTTTGTTTGGAATTTGTTTTTATTCACAAGTAATTCATCTTTTTCTCAAAGAGTTTCCAGTAACCTTCTTAGTATGAATGCTTTGATTAAACAGAGAGAGTTAAAGCCTTCTTCTGGCAGATCCATTGATGTTTCTCTTCACAGCTCACTGATGACCATGTGTTTCTGAACTTGACAGACATTGCACAGCGACCGTCAACAGGAGGATCTATCCAGGAGCTGAGGGAAGAACATGATGTTTATATAAAGGCTGATAGATGTTATTATTGAAAGTGTTTAGTAATGAATCTCTTACCTATTAGTCAGATCACTTCCATCTGCCCACTTCCATTTCCCATCTTCAACTCTCAGACCAATCCAAAATCCGTTAGTTCCTGAACTATTCGGGCTATATTTATCGATGATGTCGTTCTGAAAACAGATAAACAGATATCGGGTATTTACACCTTATATGTAAATAAACACATAATGACCTAAAGACCCAAAGTGTGTTCGCATCTCGGCTTGTCTAGCTGACATCTCTCAGTGGATGTCTGCTCACCACCTCAAGCTCAACCTTGACAAGACTGAACTGCTTTTCCTTCCGGGAAAAGATTGTCCCACTCTTGACCTAACAATCAACATCTGCACCTCTGTTGTTTCCCCGACTCGGACTGCAAGGAATCTGGGTGTGACCCTAGATAACAAACTGTCCTTCACTGCAAACATCGCTGCTACAACCCGCTGCTGCAGATACACGCTTTACAACATCAGGAGGATACATCCCCTCCTGACCCAGAAAGCGACGCAGATTCTGGCCCAGGCTCTCGTCATCTCACGCCTAGACTACTGCAACTCCCTCCTGGCTGGTCTACCTGCATGTGCCATCCGACCTCTGCAGCTCATCCAGAATGCAGCGGCTCGCTTGATCTTCAACCTTCCAAAATATTCCCACACCACACCGCTCCCTTCACTGGCTTCCAGTAACTGCTAGAATCCACTTCAAGACAATGGTACTTGCGTACCATGCTGTGAATGGATCTAGCCCTTCCTACATCCAGGACATGGTTAAACCATACACCCCAGCACGTGCACTCCGCTCTGCATCGGCCAAACGGCTCGCTGCACCAGCAATGCGAGGGGGACCCAAGTTCCCATCAGCAAAAACATGTCGGTTTGCTATCCTGGCTCCAAAATGGTGGAATGAGCTCCCCATTGAAATCAGGACAGCAGATAGCTTACACATCTTCCGGCGCAGACTGAAAACTCATTTCTTTCGACTTCGCTTCGAGCGATAGAAGCACTGACAAAGAATTGCTAACAAAGCACTTATATACTAATAAAGGACTGGCTTATCTAAAGCCAGTTGAGTAGCACTTGAAATGTTTTAGCTCTATGAAACCTGATGTACTTATATGATTCAGTTTTCTTCAAGTTTGTATCTTGTTGGTCGAATGCACTTATTGTAAGTCGCTTTGGATAAAAGCGTCAGCTAAATGCAATGTAATGTAATGTAATGTGTTCAGACCTACACAAAAATACATACACTTTTCATAATTGCATCATATGAATGGGTTTACCTTTTCAGCAGGATTATGTGCAACAGCCAAATCTGAATTCTTTCCTTTGCAGTCTTCTCGAGCTTCTTCCCAGGTTATCCAACCAGGAGAAGGAGGGTCATTCATCGCATAGCAGCTGGGCTGAGTGAGATACCATTCAACCTGACAAGGTTGACACTTTTTATCTGAAACAACAGAGTCCAAACAATCAACAACATACATTATGAAAATATTGTAATTGGGACCTAATTAATTGGATCTGAACATACACTTATTTGTTAAGCAGTAGGAATCGATGCTCCACTGAGCTCGACTGACGTTGAGCTCATTCGAGGTTGTCTCCATGTTTTGTATTTGCTGTGTCAAGTTGTTCTTCTTGGTCTCCAGCTCCTGGTTTAGTTTGTTCAGGTTTTTCACGTTGCTTTCTAAGACAGTATAGGCTTGTATCAGGTTGTCATACCAGACCGTGAGATTCTTCCATGTCTCCAGCTCCTGGATTCTTGATGTCAGGTTCAGGATCTCTGCAGTCTGCTTGGCGTTGTCTTCAGAAAGTTCAGAGGTCACTACAGAGACAGAGGAAGGTGTTGGGCTGTAAGGCTTGTGTCTCTGAGTGATTAATGATCATAATAGACATTAAAGAACAGGTTCATATGTTTTATCTTTCTTAAAACAATAGTCAGACGCACATATAAACATGTGAACGGAGCAGCATTGATGGTCTAAGATTGTTAAATCAAGTGTTTATCTTCTAAAGTAAAAAAAAAAAAACTCTTCTGAAATACATCTTTGCACAGGGCCTGTGTTAACAGGAGGCAGGATTACACCTAACAAAAGCTGTTTCTATGTACATGTGGGCGTCTGACAGACCTGTCCTTTGAAAAAGTGAAGCATAGGAACATGTCAGCCACAGCCGGCTAACTTCACAAGAGCAGCAACAAGTTAGCAACGAGCTAACTGCATTTGGAGAGATAACAGGCGGAGCAACTGGTCTCCTCTGTACTGTAGACATCTTACAACAGCTCTGACGATTCAAACCACTGCCTTTTGTAAAATATGGAGAACACAAGCAGACACCTTCACACACACACTTCACCAGTGTTAATTTTGGCAGCTGTTTTTGATTTAGTCTCAGTCTTAGTCTTTAGACGAAAATGGTTATTAGTTTTAGTCACATTTTAGTCATTTCTATCCTTCATAGTTTTAGTCTAGTTTTAGTCGACGAAAACTCAAAACGTTTGAGTCTACTTTTAGTCGATGAAAAATTACATTTTAGTCAACTTTTAGTCAAAATGTTTTCTCTCTTTAAACCAATTCATTTAGGCAAATACAGGTTTCTGACATTGTAATCAAGGTGACAGCATCAAGTGTTGAAATTCGTAAAGCAACATTTCACTCTCTTAACACTTTACTTGTGTAATATCTAGGGATGGGTATGTTAAGGTTTTCTACGGTACTACTAGTCTTATCAATACTGCTTATCGATCCGGTACTTTAACGGTATTCTTGTATTTACTTTTTGTTATTTTTTAAAGGAAAAAACTAACAAATTGTTAACCGAATTAATTGCTTTATTTAAATGTGAAATAAATGAAATATATATAATTATGTTAAAATATTGTACTGTACTTGAGTAAAATGTTAAGGTACTTGTACTTTACTGGAGTATTTCAATGTTTTGCTAATTTGTTCTTCTACTCCACTACATGTATTTAATACCTTTAGTTACTTCACAGATGTGGATGAATGATGTGAAATATAATCAAGTGTTAAATCAGACTTTCGTTCCACCTGGAGTAAATCCACAAGCTACCCTGCAGTATACAAAGTCATTCAAACTAGCTGCACCTTTACCAGCTTTGAGAACACTTTCATGATCAATCATTATAAAACATATCATATATATTATTCTGAAATGGACCAATCTGCACAATGACTACTTTTACTGTCGCTACTTTAAATATATTTTTGATGATCATACTTTGACTTGAGGAACTCTTCCTACACTATGGTATTTTTTTTACTTAGCTACAAGATCTGAGTACTTCTCCCACCTCTGCATACCTGATGGGATAACGTTACTCGTAATTGGGGCAACAGAGCTACGAGTTAAAGGTGGGGTAGGTAATTTTGGAGAAACCAGCTCGAGGGCGCTAGAATTTCTAATAAATCTCCCACTTCCTTACAGAGCCCCTCCTCCAACACACACATAGTTGCACATGACCAATGAGGGCACGAGATAAGTTTGTGCACAGATGGAAGGCTGACAGGCAGGTAGGCCATCCAGTTATTTTAGCCGGGCCGGCTAAAATGATTGGTCGTGCTTTTTACAGTATTACGGCTTCCACAGATGACATTTTTTTATGGATTTTTTGTCAAAGCACTTAAGATATTCATTGCTATCGGGATGTTAAGAGCATTCCATGGAATATAACAAAAAGTGTATCTCGAGCCGGTTTCTCAAACTTACCTACCCCACCTTTAACCTGTTCCACTCTGAGCCTGTTTTTCAGGTCTCAGGCTCGAAAATGACATTCCCAGAACAAATGACCATATCTTCCCTTCTAAAAGGGTTAAATTAATAATCTTTGCTCTCAAAGTAATGATAAACCTGTGAGTTGGATGTAGAAGTGTCAGAATCAATATAAATGTTTTTTATTTTAAAGAAAATTCAGATTAGTAAAAAACTGTAAATTATAGTGTCCGTCCAAATATTATTTTTTACAGATAGTGAAAACTACCCTTGGATGATGGGTTAGTAGACTAAAAGCTTTAGGAATCCAAAGTGCAACATATAATAAGTACCCTGTATCAAGATTGATGCAAAACAAGTGAAATTTGACCTTTCTAGAGAGATTTAGCCAAAAACCCCCACTTTTGGGGTCATTTGGGTGGATTTGACCTATCTCTGGCCCCCCTTGGTCGATTTGGTTGGTTGACATACCCTTGTGACCGTTAGAGCCAATAGAATCGAAGGGGGAGGCCCACTCACACACACGTTGTAAAGAAAAAATGTGGGCGCTTCGCAAATTTTGCATTTCTCCGATTGAATATGACGCCTTTTGGCCGGCTGTTTGGACAGACTACTCGTGTCAACGCGCTAACGCGAAAACATGGCAAACGAGCTTTTTCCACATCGAGCCTTGTAGAGTGTCTCTATACTTCTGAACGCTCCGTCCCGGGCACATCTCTGTGTGCCGCTGCAGCGTGTCTGTTAGGCCCCGCCCCCCGCACACAGAGAGACACAGGGGCCGTTTCTCAATCGCGAGGATGCTGGCTTGGTGGCCGAGCCGAGCCGAGCATCTTGCTTCAGAAGCGAGGCAAGAATACTTCCTGCTATTCGGAAAACGAAGAGTGGAACAGGCTAGCAAGTGTGCAGGTGTGCGTCATATGAGAGGCCCCGCCTTAGATCTTCCGCCACAGATTTGGGGAAATTGGTCCATGCGCAAAGCATTGTGGGGATTTTAAGGACGCGAAGTCTACTCATGTGCAGCCTCAAAATTTCCCCAAACCAAGGACGCGGCCTCGGTGGAATTCCAAGTATGCTGGAGATTGGAACAGTCCTTCGGCGGCACTCGATGACGTAGCATCCTTGAAATATTGGCTTGGAAGCCAATATCCTCGCGATTGAGAAACGGCCAGGGAGATCGCTCTTCCGGAGTGAAGAGAGCGGAAATAATGATATTGCAAGTTAGAAATGTAAGATGCATTTTGACAGACAAGACGGACACTTGGGGGGAAATACCCTGCATTTTGAATGTCCGATAGTCCACCATTAACACCTTAGTCCCGTCTCGTCTCGTCACACACACACACACTTCACCCTTAACACACATTTCAGCCTGTTTCAAACTGTTGAACTAACATTCACACAGAAGATACTCACAGTAGATACGGAGACCCATGATGGCTAACAGTATGATCCAACACACTGCTATTGGAAGAAAAAACCTCAGGCCTGAAAAATAAGCATTCTGTTAAAAAACCTTAACAAAGGTTTCAAAAGGTTTCAAAGGTTTTAAATTCATATACACAGATACAGTTTAGTCTAAAAACTGTGGTCGCAGGTTGGTTAACATATACAAGACTTAAAAGAAATTAAAAAAAAACAATAAAAATAGTGCAAGCTCAGCTTCATCTTAACGCCTAAAATCATTTAACAGGCTAAGCTAATGCTTTCAAAACATTATAAACACACCACAAAAATAGCTAAACCATTTCAACCTTTGTCACTATCTCACTGTTTTACCTGTATGTTTTTTTAAACATGTTAACAGTATTAAATAGTGAAATGTATTGATCAGGCACCTGGAGGGGATGCCTTTGTATCCACGGTGCCTTCTGGTGCAGCTTCTTTTTTGGTGTCCTCTGAAAAATAAAAACATAATGTGTTTAACAGCATTTACCTTTTTAACTTTTTAATGCTATTTTATTTCTATTTCAGAAATATTTAGGACTGTTTATTTATTGTGTCTTAATTCCTCTTTTCTCTTCTCTTTTTCATTGCCTTATTTTTTATGCTGCTGCAACGCAAACATTTCCCAATTTGGGATCAATAAAGTACCTATCTATCTACCTATCTATCTATCTATCTATCTATCTATCTATATCTATCTACCTATCTACCTATCTATCTATCTATCTACCTACCTATCTATCTATCTATCTACCTATCTATCTATCTACCTACTTACCTATCTATCTATCTATCTATCTACCTACCTACCTACCTATCTATCTATCTATCTATCTATCTATCTATCTATCTATCTACCTACCTACCTACCTACCTATCTATCTATCTATCTATCTATCTATCTACCTACCTACCTATCTATCTATCTACCTACCTATCTATCTATCTATCTGTCTATCTATCTATCTATCTATCTATCTATCTATCTATCTATCTATCTATCTATCTATAACTTCCAATATAATCAAACTTTAAAAACCATTGGACAAAAGATGGATTTTATAATGGCTATCAGCAAACACACTGCTATTGGTGGAAAATACAGTGAAGAAGAGAAACATCTGGCCTGAGTAAAGTTACTAAACAACATGAATTAACAGTTATTATAAAACAAAAAGAGCTGATTTAATATTCACGTTTTTAACCTTCATCACTATTTTTTTTAAATAATATGACTGTTAAATAAATCTCATGTTTGCTTGTGCTCACAGCTCACCTGGACGCGTTGCCTTTTTATCCGCAGGGCCTTCTGGTGCATTCACATAGTCAGCTTCTTCTGTGATTTCCTCTGGAAGATAAACACATACTGTTTCATCAGATATGCAGTTTCACTCCCATTATGTTCAGCACGCATGAGGAACCATTTCACTAAATGATGGAGTTTATAATCAACGATATAAAATGAGTTGCCGTCACGCAAAGCATAGAGCAGGAAAGCAGAACTAAAAACACACAGAGAAGTGTATCGTGCTGACTTTTTAAAACAAGAGTAAAGACCAATTAGACAAACTCAAATCTGCCTCTTTTAAATACAACATTTGTACATGTTATTGTTGAAAATGGAGCACATTTTGTATTTAGTACAATAGTTCATCATGTGTGGTTAACATATTGATAAACTACAAGCTTCTTCCTTAATTTACTATCCAAAAATCCTTAAATATATCAAACATTATGTCTCTATGTTCAGCAGAGTTGATCTATTATCATTTTAAAGATTCAATCTTATATGAATTTGGATATTTAAAATAATTTGCTGCTAGGGAGTGGTCAAGCCTCAGAAGCAACTCACGCATATAATAATAATAATAATAATAATAATAATAATAATAATAATAATAATAATAATAATAATAATAATAATAACACGTTTATTTATTATAGCACCTTTCACATAAATAGAATTTCACAAAGTGCTTCACAAGTAAGAACAAAAGTTCAAATGAAGACCACAGAAACATGAATACAATAACAACATGAGGCAGAAATTGTTAAGGTTAAAATAAAAACAAAACACAGACCACGTGGAGTCCTGAAAGGAACAGACATAATAACAGAACACACATTTCAAATAGAAATAAAAGCCAATGTAAAAAGATGGGTCTTCAGTATTTTTTTAAAAGCTTCTACAGAGACTGCAGAGCGGATGCCTATAGGGAGAGAGTTCCACAGTGTTGGAGCTCCACCTGAAAGGCACGCTCACCTTTAGTTTTTAGATGAGACCGTGGGACAGCCAGTAGGCCCTGGTTTGAAAACCTAAGTGACCTACTGGCGATGTAAGGATGGAGAAGGTCACATATATACTCCGTTGCATTTCCATGCAGGGCTCTATAATAACTAGAACCTTAAAATACATTATAAATCGAGTGGGGAGCCAATGTAAGGATTTTAAAATTGGTGTAATGTGTGTCATCCTGGTTAACAGTCTTGCATTCTGGACCATTTGTAGGCGGTTTAGAGATGACTTGCTGAGACACGTGAACATCGAGTTACAGTAATCCAGCCGGGATGATATAAAAGCATGAATGATCATTTCAAGCTGCGCTAATGACACAACAGACCTGAGCTTTGCAATATTTCTGATCATACATAGCAAAACATGTTGATAAAGGCAAAGAAAAACACATCATATCTTTTATCTTACACACACACACACATTTACACACATAAACTCTGGAATATTCTTTAAATTACCCAAATCCTTGATTATCTTTCCTTTCATCCTGAACAAGGTCCTGCTGCAGTCCTGATGAGCGCGTCTCTCTGATGTGACGGTTCAGTAGACTTCTGCTTCGAGGTGGAGATGGCATCATTTTAATTTCCTGTTCTCATGTCATGTTGATACTTCCCAAATAGTTTCAACCGGAACTTGAAACATGTGGCCCTTTCACAGAGTTTTAATAGAGTCACACATCCAACATATTGGATTTCCCAACAATATAATCATATTAACTGCAATCTGGATCTCCATTAGCAGCGTTCACACCAAGTACTTTCCTGTACTTAGTTCCGGCACTAAGAGCCCTGGCGCTTTTAACCCCAGGGCACTTAGTACAGATCGCGTTCACACCGGAGTACTTTTCCCTGAGGGAAGATTACAAGTACAGTAGGTGGCGGTAAGCACCTTAAAGTTGTTTGCAATCCGCTACAAAACAAGAGAAGAAGAAAAACTTCCCGCGTATATTGTCTGTTGTTTACCTTCCGACCTCAGACATGATGGAGATGGAGTCGACTGGAGTTGTGCTGTTTGTGCTCATGTTATACAGCTTTGTAACTTCGTTAATGCGACCAGAGCCTGAGCCTATTAGGCGTCCGACAAAAATCCGGAGCCGCCACACGTCGAATGCTATAATCGCAGTTTCTTCAGCATCAAAGGCAGTTCAAAAGCTTTAGGAAAAGGATTGGCCGACGGAAAGCACACATGACTGCCATGTTTCACCGTAGGATGGCTGATACAGGATCTGTTTAATCGCCATGTCGGTTTTCTTTATTGCACTCTCAAGACATAACATTAAATAGAAATATTTTAAATGTAACTAAATTGTCAGTTGTACATGTCAGTAAACATTGTCAATATAAAATAAAGTGTCAGTTGTACTATATAATAACAGTAATAATAATATAAAATAAACTGTCCCAGCTGTAGGGAGTCTCAGCAGCAAACCCACCTTTATTATATATCTTCCTGAGACCCACTGCATCCGTCTGCCATAAACACTATGCAAACATACATGTTAGTTTTGGCCCATAGTGGACTCCATGTTGTGTTGTGTGAAATGGGGGGGAATTAAAAGTTTAGGTCAAATAATATTTAAAATGATATAAATTATCATATTTGTGTATGTGCCCCTGCCATTCCCCCACAAGGTTGCAACATTGATGATAAATAAATGACAAATAAAGCTTTGCCAGTTTATAACCGATGAAACATGATGGTATCAGAATAATCACTTACATGTGATGTATAGGATGCTACACAGGTCACTAAAGATAAAGTGTCGGGAGAAATAAGCTTAATCGCCCTGTCGGTTTTCTTTATTGCACTCTCAAGACATAACATTAAATAGAACAATTTTAAATGTAAATAAAGTGTCAGTTGTACATGTCAGTAAACATTATATATAAAATAAAGTCATAACAGTAATAACAATATAAAATAAACTGTCCCAGGTGTAGGGATATTCTCAGCAGCATACACACCTTAGTGCAACGTTGTGTGTCGTGTGTCAGTATTTACATTTACAAAAACTATACCAAATAAACTGTTATTAAATGCAGTTTGTCGCTCATCCTGCCGCTGCGCCGACGCTTCATCATGGCGCAGCGCCCACACTTCATCCTGGTGCTGCTGGCGCTCCATCTGCTGCTTGAACACTTCTGCCTGGCGCTCCATCGAGGTGAGCATCTTGTCCTCCGTTTCCTGGGCCTTGGTGAACAGCACCATCTGATCTCCACGCAGCGACTCATTCACCACGGCACGCCGGTCCTCCAACGCCTGGGCGGTGTCAAAGAAATTCGCATCCCGTGTCCGCTTTCCTAAGAGGGGAAAATAAGCAATATACAATATACAAGTTTAGTCGCCATGTAGTTTTACAACATACTAGGAATGTTTTTTTGTATTTTCACAAATAGAATTAAGGTTTCACAAATCTGAAACTGTGTTCTAAAGAATCTTTTGACTCTCTGGGATAATCCAGTCCAGATTTGATGAGTCTAGGTATAGTGGTTTTAGATCAGGACCTGGTCTAATGTGGTCTAATGTGGTCTACATGTAAAAAAAGCACTGAAATCTCCCTTTTTTGTATTTTCACAAATAGAATTAAGGTTTCACAAATCTGAAACTGTGTTATAAAGAATGTTTGGCCTCTCTGGGATAATCCAGTCCAAATAAATCGGCTATGCAGCGATTCAAGAGGTTCAAACACGGAGGATTGTTCCTTTTTGAAGAGTGCTTCATGTATGCTTGAACTTTGTTTAATGTTGTTGAGGCAAGTTAAACATAAAATATGATGAATATTATGAAATAAACATGATTGTGAACATCAGTTCGATGCGTAACGTTCTTTCAAGACAAAGTTACAGTGTGTGTACCTTTGCGTTTGGTTGCTGGTAAGGAGGACGAGCTAGCGCTGTGATCTAGAATGCAAAGCTCGCTTGTTTCCAATCCCGAGAGTTGTCCATCCTCGCCTGAAACACACGATTAGTGCCATGAGTTAGTGAAGCAAATTACAGAAACACTGCACAGTTATTCACAAGTCAAAACGTTTTCAGAGCGGCCGAGAATATCTAGCTAGCTAGATGTAGCTAGCTCGGAGCCTAGCATGGCTAGCTTGATCTACTGAGCAAATAAAAGTACATCTGAGACCATTATTGTGCAGATTAAAACCCCAGTGCATGTAGTTGATTTTACCTTCGTCGTGGTAGTCATCGTTGGCCACTGAATCCGCCGTTTGTAGTCCTGCCTGAGTTTCTTTATTTTTAGCCGGTGGGGCTGTGCACAATTCCCAGGTCGAGTGAAAGCTACCGAACTGGCTTCAGTAGCATTCCCTGGGTCGCGTCCTCGGCGTAGATCTCCAGAAGCGCCGACACCTCCTCATCATTTCTTGATGCTTGCCATAACTGCTTTCAAAAACAAACACAACGCACGGAGCGTTGTGTTTTTGTAGCGAGGAAAAACAATGGCGTCTCCACACAACATTTTCAGAGTTGTACGGGCGTGGTTTGCAATTCGCCCAGCCAATCAGCACTGGGGCACTTTTGGAGCACTTTTCACCCACAGAAAAGTACGCTCTCTGAGCTGGCTCTAAAAATGGGGGTAAAAGTACCCGAGATTAAGTACGATTGTTGGTGTGAACGCGACATAAGGCGTACTCACGGAACTAAAACGCGAAAAGTACGGTGAAAGTACTCCGGTGTGAACGCGGCTAATGGATTTCTAGGCCCCAAAAACGAATGTTTAGTCACCAAAATGCTCTCAATGCCACTTCCTGTCCCTCTCTGGAGCTCTGCTAGTGACTGAATATTGAGGCCTGATTTCCTTTTGGTTAATTTTAAAACATGTTACATCATCGTGAATAAGATTGTTTCTCCTGACTATTTATAAGTCCGTAGAGACCTACATACTTGGCTAAAATTGTCAAAATCAGTTTGGTAGTGTTCATATAGCTGTTGTGGAGGATATCATGAAGCCTTGTTCTGATCAAATACAACTAGAGGTAGTTATTATATAATGTTAACTTGAAAAGGGTCACAGGAGACCTGAACACAACATAAGGGTTAGAGGAACTGAGCAGCATTGATGGACACTAACACATTGATGAGTTTAAACACTAGTATCACATCTTATCATCATACATACATCTTACTTAGTGTTTGCACTTCTTTTGGCCAATTCACCTCCACTTCCTGTCCCTCTCTGAAACTCTGCAGGTGCTGATGTTGACAGAGTGACTGAATATTGAGGCCTGATCTCCTTCTATCTTATTTTCATCCAAATGTTTGCACCATGAATAAGATTGTTTCTCCAGACTTGATTAAAGCACTGATGTTTTCAAGAGAAAGACAAAAACAACAATGTGTGGCAGCACATTTATTCACTGGTGACAACAGAGTAAAACAAGACATTGCTCTTAGATAAAAATACAGATAGATAGAAATCATCCATAAAGTGTGCATCATCAGAATAGTATCAGGGACAGTTTCATCCCACTGGCCATAAGACTATTAAACACCTGAGCTTGCACTATTTCTATTTGTATTGTTGTTTTATATATGTATTTCTTAAGTCTTGTTAATTGCACTGTTAAGGAACCTGCGATGACATTTTTTTTTTATACATTACATAATTACACCGTAGTTTCTAAATGTCATGACAATAAACCTTTGATTCTTGAATCTTGAAAAACAGTTATTTAACAGACTCTGGAACATCGTATTGAGAACAAGTGATGCAGCGCCCTCTGTTGGCCGGTAGAAGCAATCAAATAAAATGATCCATAATCTTTTGCAATAATCTGCAGTTTAAGCGTTGCATCTCTAACACAATAGAATAACATTATTCACACAAAACAGTTTAACTATTTTAACCTTCCATATATAATAAAAACACCATACAAATGTTAAAGAAATAAATATTTGCATTAATTTAGCAAGCTCCATAGAAATTAAGTCAAACTAAAAGTACATCGATTTTAAAATAATCCACATTACGAGTTCACTTTTGTGTTTTATTGTTTGTATCGAGTTTGTGAAACGTTTCTGGAATTACTGTTTTTTATCCTTTTTCTGTTTTATATTTTGTTTGGAATTTGTTTTTATTAACAAATAATTCATCTTTTTCTCAAAGAGTTTCCAGTAACCTTCTTAGTACGACTGCTTTGTTCAAACAGACAGAGCCTTCTTCTTGCAGATCCATTGTCGTTTCTCATCACAGCTCGCTGAGTACCAGTAGTTGCCCTTGAAAAACACTGCACAGTGACCTTCAACAGGAGGATCTATCCAGGAGCTGAGGAGAGAACATGATGTTTAGATAAAGACTGATAGATGTTATTATTCAAAGTGTTTAGTAACGTGTCTCTTACCTATCAGTCAGATTACTTCCATCCACCCACTCCCATTTCTTATTTACAACTCTCAGACCAATCCAGTATCTATTACCTTTATAGCTCTCAGTATTGTTTGCTGCCTGGAAAACAGAGAGAGAGTTGTCAGATATTTAAACATTAAACTGTAATAAACAAATAATGACC